GTGTGTGTGTGTGTGTGTGTGTAAAGTCAGCTTATTCAGATAACACCAGAATTACACATTCTACCCATGCTTCAAGGCCTGGCTCAAGGCCTGCTTCATGCATTTGACAGGTGTCCATTAAGCTCCTATTATGTGCTAGGAAACTGGAACAAAAGCCAAAAGAACAAGTCACTATTCTTGGGGAGCTTACAGTCTCTTCAAATACTTTCTCCATGTCCATGAGGACTTATAGGACCCCTCTATGGCTCAAACATCCTTCTGAACAGATCATGAACCCATCTGATCATGGATCAGACGTACTGCTTTGAAAGATATGGAAACTCATTAGAAATAGCACATTACACTATTCTTATAGTGCCAGATACTTACATGTTCCTTTCTAAATTTAGAGGACAAAGGCTTTTATGCAATTGCTACCACTGAACACTCTGGCCTTGGTTTTGGAATGGAAGAAGAAACCCTAGGTCCTACATAAACTTAAGTAGCTAAAAAAATCCAGCATAATAAACTTTCTTTTTTATTCTACCTGTCACCTAAGTACAGTTAGGGCCAGAATAGGATAGTGAGTTAGACATTTTCTGGCTGCAGATGGGCTTAGAACTTGTGGAAATTTTCAAGAAAGCGAAATATTAACCGGTTATGTCAAACTGTCTACAAGGTGACACAGAAGTCCCCTGAATGCTACGCCTTCATTCATCTCTAGGGATTATGAAGTCCTGGACAGGAAAATGGTGTCTGAGAATGGGATTTGGCTTTTAGGATTCCAGCTTAAGATACAGGAATGAAGAGTTTTTGCAAAAGGGCACTATTAAGTCTAACGAGGACTGGGAAAAATACATTTTGTCTTAAAGATACTGATCTTAGGGGATGGTTGGTGGTGTTTTGTTTTTAAACAGAAACTTTAGTGATGCCTTCTGTTGTGCCATGTTTATTTCCCTCTCACCCTCCATTCTGTAACAAGGAAGAATTTTTAGGCTGTGATATCTAACCAATATCTGACTGTGGAGAGTGTGTGTGTATAATGTGGCTATTGAGTGTGTGTGTGTGTGTGTGTGTGTGTGGTGTGTGTGTGTGTGTGTGTGTGTGTGTGTGTGTGTATAATGTGGGCTATTGAGAACCTGGATTTCTTTCTTAAGAAAACTGCCTTTTTATATCCTTGGCCCATTTGTGAATTAAAAAATGGCTCTTCTTATAAAATGTATTCATATCGTTGTGCAACTTAGAAATCAGATATTTAGCAAGGAAACTTGCTCCAAAGATTTCTCCCCCAGTTATTGCTCCTCTAATTTTGAGTGAATTTTTAAAAATGCAAAGGCTTTAAAAAATTCATTACAACTGTTCATTTTATCTTCTGTGGTTTTCTGCATTCCTTGTGCTTGGTAGGAATGGGTCTGATGTCAGAACCCTGTTGATTCAGGTTTAACTTTTTTTTTTTGGCTAGGCAATAGGGTTAAGTGACTTGCCCAGGGTCACACAGCTAGTATTATGTGTCTGAGGCTGGATTTGAACTCAGGTCCTCCTGAATCCAGGGCTGGTGCTCTATCCACTGTACTACCTAGCTACCCCTAATTCAGGTTTAATTTCAAGATAAAAGAAGGCACTTGTAAATTATAGAGTAGTTAACAAAAGAAGATTTATTTTGCCCTAACAGAGCAAAGATATGCAACAAGGATATAGGCATTTGCCTTCTACAGACCTAGACCAGCTTCCATATGGAAACATGCCTAGTAGGCCAGGGAGGGTGTGATAACTCCATAGTCTTTGGACATTCACCAAGTTAGAAATTCCACCCTGTTTCCATGTGAGACTTTTTAGGCTCTACAGTGACCAGCAAGCTGGGTCAAAAGAAGCAAGGGCCAGTTAGTTCCCAAGCACAGCTTTGTTACCTTTGACCGAAGAGCAAATTCCTTATTGTGGGGTGAGGGAGAAGCTGGGGGGGGGGGAAGAGGCGGGCATTCAGAAATCAGCAGAAAATGTTGGTCCTATCACACTTTGATTGTGAATTGTTCAATTATCCATAGTTCTAAAAGTAAATTAATTCCTTGGTCCTCTAATTTGTTTATGTGACATTTTATATCTAAGTCAAGCATCTGTTTCCGTGCTTAATTAAGTGCTTAATTTACACGCAAAAGAGGTAAGAAGATAGCTCCTTTAATACTAGGGATGGGTGAGTTTAATGCTGATTCCTGTTAGAATTGTAGAATTCACAGAACAGTCTGTGAATATTTGGAAAGGGAAACCGTGAATACTGAGACGGTATGGCTTCACTGAGCACACATCATGCCAAACTAACCTTATTTCCTTTACTGACAAGGTTCTCAGAAGAGCAGATCAGGGAAACGTCATCCACATTTTTTTTTTTTGGCTAGGCAATGGGGTTAAGTGACTTGCCCAGGGTCACACAACTAGTAAGTGTCATGTGTCTGAGGCGGCATTTGAACTTAGGTCCTCCTGAATCCAGGACCGGTGCTCTATCTACTGCACCACCTAGCTGCCCGGTCATCCACATCTTTTTCCTGGCTTTCACCAAGACATCTGACATGTGTTTTTATTTTTTCCTTCCTGATGTCAGAGCTCTGACCTCCTCCTGACCCCTGATCCCCTTGGTACTGTCCCCAGATTCAATTTATAACCTAGAGACAGAACAAGATGCAGAAAAAAATGTCAAGAGGACCCAAACCTCTTCTCTAGTGAACTCCACACTTCTTAACTTTGGGGATTTGAGGCAGTTTTCAACTGTCACTTCAAAATGCAGTTCTGATAACTAAATGATTTTAGGTAGAAGAAAATAAGCCTGTGCACTATTTTTTACAAGATGTGGAGATGTGGACTATATAATACTGTAGCTGGTTGGATGCAGAATGGCTGAACTCTCGGAAACAGACTATGGTCATGGGACCTATGTCTACTTGAAGAGAGGCCACTACCGAGGGCTGCAGGCTGGCTGTTGTCTTTCAAGTTTTGGTCAACAACTAAATGACTGACGACAAAGTCCCCAGTGGAACACATATTAAATTTTGGATGACACAAAAGTGCAAAAGATAGAAGACTTACTGGATAATAGAAGGGGTGTGTGTGTGTGTGTGTGTGTGTGTGTGTGTGTGTGTCAAAGCCTCTGAAACTCTTGCCTATAATAATCACATAGGAAGACACTTGATAGGACACATTTTAAGTCCTAGACTTTGGTTCCAAGGCAAGCATAGAACAGGGAGGACATAAGCAAAGAACACTTCATGTGAGAACACCTAAGGCTATCACCCTCCCTCATTACCTCTTGCCAGATTTGTTGCTGCAGTCTTCCAACTGCTCTGCCTCAAGCTTTTCCTCAATCCACCACTTAGACAGCAGCCAAAAAGATTTTCCTAAAGTGCAAGTATGATCACGGCTAAAGTCCTGCCCTCTGTTAGAAGCCCCCTTTATTTCTAGGGACTTCCCTCTCTTGATTATTTCCAGTTTGTCCAGCCTGTAGTTTGTCTGTAGGGTTGTTTGCTCAAGTCTCTTCCTCTAAACCATCAGATCCTTTTCATCGGGGCCTGTATTCTGCCTTTCTTTTCACTCCCAGTGCTGAGCACAATGCCTGTCACATAATAGGTGTTAATAAATATTTTAATAACTGCTTCAGTTTTCTACGTATTCTCTAAAAATGTTATCAAAAGGTCTTAGAGTTAAAACAAAGACTATCTCAAATAGGACGGTTCCCAGATGTACACAAGACTTGCAGAAACAATCTACTGGATAAAGAGGGTATCTCTCATAGAATCAACACAGACATATACAAATGTCCATAGAAACAACCTGAAGAAGTGGTTTCTGTTATTATTATTAGGATGTGACCTAGGAGAGTGAAAAACAAAAACAAAAACACCCGCTCTGGAGCCAGAGAGCCTGGCTTCCAACCTCACCTCGGGATGATACTGCCGACAGGCCCTAGGCCGGTCCTATCTCCAGGAGCCTGAGTTTCCCTATCTGTAAAATCAAAGGTTTGGACTAGAAGGCCTCCAAGTCTCTTCCAGATCTAGAAAAGGATCTTTTGATAACTTGCTACCACTTCAGAACTAAGTCTCAGTCTGTGACCCTGATTTTTGCAGGTTTCAATGGGGAATCCATGACTTAAAAAGGCAGAACTTCATTTACTGATGGCAAACTTCATCAAGGTCATCTAGCTTTTATGAAAATATAATTATACCTGTCACACTCTGCTTGCAAATTGATTTTGAAAAACCCAGACAATACAAAATGTTCTCCTGGAGAAAAAAGAATGAATTAAATCAGGTCTAAGATTTCCCCCCCCCAAGTATCTGGATCAAGTGCGAAGTCATTACGAATGCCACCTCGATCGCTTCCTTATCTTTGCAGCCTCCCTTCTCTGCATTCTCGGATCCGGTCCCCCGACCCCAGCCTTCCAGAACCCAGATGCACTCCCTCGTTCCTTCGTGGACGCCCCTTTGTACCCCGCCCCCACCTCGGCCTGGTGCCTGCACACAGCACTCACTCAGCAACTGCTTTCTTTTCCCGCGCCTCTAGCCCTGACCCTGTTTGGCCTGGATGGCCTTCGCCTTGTGACCCTTCCTGCCCTCCCTCTCCACGTTCCGGTGCTGGACGTCGCTTGGGCCGCTCTCCGTGTCCTCCCCCGCCTGGCTCCCCCCACCTAACGCCCCGAGGGCTCCCTCGGAGGTCGCCGGCCTCACCCCCCCGCCTGTGTCGGGGGCGGGGCACATGGGGGGAGGGGAGGAGGGATCCCGGGCGTTGGCGCTGGCTTCGGGGGTCCCGCACACACTAAGAGCTCGGACGAGGTCCGTGACGCTCCTGGTACACAGCGGGCGTCTAATAAACACTCGGCGGATGCCCGGCGGGACAGGCCCAGTCCAGACGCGCTCCACACCCCCGACTCCGCGCTCCGCTTGGCCCCGCCCCGCCAGCCACGTGACCCGGCCTCCCTCCGCCCCCCTCACGCAGCGCCCAGGGGCTCGCTCCCGCCGGTCCCTCCCCCAGCACGCCCCCTCGCTGCCGCGTCTGCGCAGGTTGTGGTGGGAGCCACGCGGCCGCCGAAGCCGCGTTCCAACTCCTGCTCCTCCCTCTCCAACAACTCCCGCTCCTCCCTCTCCTCCTTCTTCTACTCCTCCTCCTCAGCCGCCGCTGCCCCGGCCCCGCAGGGCGGTGCCCCGCTGCCGAGAGGACCGCGCGCCCAGCCCCGCCGACCCGCGGGACGCGACGCGACGCGACAGGGCTCGACGGGACGCCACGGACCGCCCGACGGCCGGCCGGACGACCGCACGGAAAGAGGCACGGCCGGCGCGAGGCCGCAGGTAAGCCCTCCCCTCCGACCCCGCCGCGGGCCCCGAACTCACACCACGGCTCGGGAGATCATCCAGGACACCATGTTGGCCCCCGGCGCGGGGGGCGGCGCTCGGAGGCCCGGCCCGGCTCGCCTCGGCACCGCTGCTCTCCTCTGCTCGGCCGCCCTAAGTTTCTTTTTCCGCGAGCCGAGGAGGAGGAGGAGGAGGAGGAGGAGGCGCCCCCTCCCTCCCTTTTTTCCTCCCCCCTCCCCGTCGCTCCTCCGGGCCCCCGCCCTCTCTCCCGGCGGGCCCCGCCTCCGCACGGCGCTGATTGGCTGCCGCCGTCGCCGGGGCGTCGGCGCCGGGCCCCCGCTCCCGGGCACGCGCGGCGCGCGGCCTGGGCAGCCGGGCCGCCGGGCTCGCGTTCCTCGCCGACCCTCCTCCCTTCCCTGTCCCGGCCGTTAGCCCCGCCGCTTCCTCCCTTGGCGTCAGCCTCGGGCCGGCGCCAGGTTGGGCCGGGAAGGAGTGGTGCTGGCGGGGGAGAGTCTTCCCCTCCTCGGGCCGCCCCTGGAGCCTGCGGTGGCCGGGGTCCGAGGCGCCCTTTCTCCGGCCCCCCTGCACCCGCTGCTGCTCGCCAGGTCACGGATGGACGTCGCTCTGGTGAAGCCCGGGGACCTTTTCTCGGAAGTGTTGGAAAACGCACTTAACAAAGTCCGCCCCCCCCACCCCTTGTAATTAAAAAAAGTTCACAAGTCCTGGGTTGAGCATCTCTGGTAGAGTCTTCATTTACCGGCGCAGCCGCCGGGCCCAGTACAACCCCCGCTTCGGTGAACCCTACCCCTCCTCTGAGCGGCGAGGGAACCCAGGTTCGGAAGATGAGTAGCCCGCGGGGTGACGGTCAGGGCCAGGATGTGACCCGAGGCTAGCGGCCTGGTCACTTTAGCTCCCTTTCCTTGTACCACCCTGACACCGGACAAGAGGAGACCTGACGGGATTTAACTGCCCTTCTCTTCCCTCGGGTTTAGGTCCTTTGGGATATTTGTAAAGTATTTGGTGTTTTAATACCAAAACTGCACGTCACCGGTAGTAATGATCGACGAGTAAACTAGCTTTATTTTTGCCTGTTATAGGCACCATTATCAACTATACTAATACCTAATTTTTCCCCGTTTGGGAAAGGAGATATTTCATATTTAACCTCCTAAACTTAAAAAAAAAATTAGGGATGTTGTACTGTGAAATACGGTGGACGGGATCAAATCCTACCCCAAATACTTAACTTGCTGCCTGAGAAGAGACAACCTTTCATAACCTCAGTACCTGCTCTAAAATAATATACACGGCAGTAGTTATCAGTAATGTTTTTAAGCTTCAGTGTACAACAGCTGTACTCCAGCTCTACTCATTGTGGCTTTGAAGTGACCCTGCTGGAGTAGATGTCAGGGCGAGCCCAGGATCTAGTGTGTGATTGTCCTCTGAGGACTGGCCTGGCCAAGTTTCCTTTACTTCTAGGATCTTCCCCTCCTTTCTGATTTTTTTTTTAATTAAAAGGGCCGCCACTTCTTACTTCTTAAACATCTCTAATCATTGAATGGGCGTTGCCTCAGTTAGAGTGAAAACTTGGAAAGACCTCAGCTTAAAAAGGTCAAGGTGTCCCGCTGCATCCTGGGCCGTCTCCAGTTGTCCCGATCTGTATCTGGCCACTGGACCTGGATGGCTCCAGAGGAGAGAGTGAGGCTGGGACTTTGCACAGTCCTCCCTCATTTAAATCCAGTTCACTTGCATGTTATGGCACCATCTCCCTGATGTCATGGTCCTTTTCAAGAGCAAAAGACAGACCACGCAAGGTGATCCACTTCTGTGCCGGAACAAATGGTCACACTATCTGCTGCATCTGGGACTCTACGATCTTAGAGAGTGAGCTAGAGTAGGGCTGGAGGTGGGAGCCTTGAAGATAGGTAGTGTCTTGCATTTGGATAGCTTGTAGTTTAATAATAAACACTTTTGCATTGTTTTTTAAGTTTTGCACAGCATTTTATGCGTTTTCTTATTTGGCCCATTAGCATAGGAACCATTTGGTTCTTTCCAAGCTGCCATGAGCCAGTTTGGGCTGGTATCCTGATCTCCATTTTTATGATTTGAAAACTGAGGACAAATTACTAAGTGGCAGGAGTGAGGAAACAAGCCCAGGTTTTCTGAATTTAAATAAATTGTTCCTCTAAAGCAGAGATGTCAAATGCAGCTGCTTCAACCACATTAAAATGTAATTGGGAAATATTTAACAAAATAAAGAAACAATAGAAGATAGATAATATTACTATGTGATTTTCTAAGTCAATATGCTTGAGGTAAAGATGATCAGTTTGTCACCAGTGATGTAGAGCAACTGTCTCTTGAGTTTCCTGGAAATAATTGATCTTTTTTTTGATGCTGACCAAGACATCATCATAAATCTTAGCTATTTCACTGTGCTTTTGGTTGGAGAGGATGGTAATTTAACCAAACGGCAGATCCTATGGTCATCTTGACCTGCTCACTCTCCTCTGCTCCCCACGCCTCAATCTGTTACTAAATTAGACTGCTTTCATTTAAAATATGATAAATTGTAGCTTCCATTTTCATACTATCTACTAAGCCTACTGTTAGGCTTTAGCTGGGACTGGGTTTCTTTTCTTCTTAGGCTCTTTTTCCCTCCAATAAGCCCTGCCTGTCTGCCCTTCCCTCCCCTATTAAATATTGTATAAATACTTCAGCAATTGAGTTATCCGTCACATGACTGGTAAAGGAATCTCCTTAATGCACAGATCTCATTGAGCTGCCTTCCGTTTTGAAAACCTGTATTTGCTTCCTATTGCCTACTAAGTAAATCCTCAATTATTTAGCCTGTCATTTATGGCCCTCCAGTTGGCATTTCCAGCCTTAGTTCATATGACTTCCCTTTGTGTATTTTTTATTCTCACGAACTGGACTGTACTGTTCAGTCATTCAGTTAGCAAACATTGAGAGCTTGCTGTGTCCCAGGCATTGTGCTGTTACATACAAGAAAGAAGCTAAAACCATCCCCATTCCTCTAGGAGCTTACGTTCCAAGGGAAGGAGATAAGTATACAGAAGATATATGCCACATAAATAGAAAGTGAATGAATCACACACATATCCAAAGTAGTTAAATACAAGGCGGCTTAGGAGGGGGAGCATGAGCAGCAGGGGGATCAAGAATGACCTCATCCGTAACGCTGCACGTGAAATGGGGGTCAGTTGTTTCAGTTGGGTCTGACTCTTGATGCCCCCACTTGGGGTTTTTTGGCAGAGATACTGGAGTGGTTTGCCATTTCCTTCTCCAACTCATTTTATAGAAGAGGAACTGAGGCAAACAGGTCCAAGTGACTGGAGTAAGAGTACCAGGCCAAGTTTGAACTCAGGAAGTTGGGTCTTCCTCACTCCAGGCCTGGTGCTGTGAGCACTATGGTGCCCTCTAGCAGTTAAATGAAGAGAGGATGTCTATGAAGCTGGAATAAGGAGGGAGGTCATTAGAGACTTACAGAATAGCTGGTGCAAAGGCTTATGGAGATGGAGTGCTGTGAAGGTGAGTTTGGTAGAACACGGAGTGTGCCAGGAGGAGTAATGTCCATTGAGGCTGGAAAATTAGGTTGGGGCCAGGTTCTGTGGGGCTTAAAAAGTCAAATGGAGGAGTTTATGTTTGATCCTAGAGCTAGTTGTACCTACTATGTGCCACTGCCTACTGTGCTGAGCACTGGAAATACAAAGGAAGGAAAAGGACAGTCTCTGCTCCCAATATGTGTGGAAGGAAAAAACCATTTTGGCAGCGGTATATAGAATATACTGGGTCGGGGAGAGAGACCAGTTGGGAGGCTGTCCTAATAACAGGCAAACAGTGAAGATTGCCTGAACTAAGGTGGGATCTGTGGAGAAAAGGCAAGGTTTCCTGACTGATTGTGACCTTTTGTGTACCAGGATCTCCCTTCCCCTCTTCCATGAGGAGGTGTTTCCTCAGAGACAGGTTTCCCTGACATTGGCACTTGCTTCTATAGAGGCAAGATTGTATGATTTATATTAATAACAGCTAAAATTTCAGGAGTGTTTGAAGATTTACAAAGCATTTTTGTAATAATATGAGTAGTGCCACCATAATAAAGTTCAGTGATTTGTTCCTAGTCACACAACTCAAAAGTCCAGGAATCTGAGCTGGGAATGCCCTCAAAAGCCTTCTAGTCCAGACATAGTAACGTGAGAATCTTTTCTATGATATTGCCCACATTTGGTCATCTACCTTTCTTTTGAAGACCTCTGGTAAGTGGGAACTCTTTACCTTTCCTAAGGTACTCTATCCCATTTGTTGACATTTCTAGTTGTTAGGAAGTGGTTTCCTTGCCTAAAGCCAAAATCTGCCCCTCTGCATCTTCTATCCCATTGCTCTTAATGCTGCTCTTTGGGACCAAGTAAAATAAACCCTTCTTGGACTTGACATCCTCTCAAATTCTTGAAGTTATAATTGACCTTTAAGTCTTCTCTTCTCCAGATTAAACACATCTGCTTCTTCACCAGAGCTCATATGTGATGATCTTGACATCTTTCCCCACCCTGACCATGTTTTTTGGATTCCCATACTGTATCAGTGACTTTCTAAAACCGGTGTCCAGGATGGGATGCCCTCGTCTGACTTTGTTCTGGCGAAGGCTAAGTTCCCAGGCTCTGGAATGCTCCCCATGTGACAGATACTCTGCCTACGATGGCATTCATTGTTTGCACTGCTCTGCTGCACTGCCTCAGATTGAGCTTGTATTCCACTTTGTAAAGCCCAGTATTGGACCTGCAGAACCCAAGGCTCCTGCCTCTTTGCAGATCGGGGTTCTCTTCTCGTGAAGCAGGCTGCCTTTCTAGTAGGATTGCATCATCCATTTTTGGTTAAAACTTGGTCATTCTACCCATGAGAGCTCACTTCTCTCTTTTAAGCTGAGTCCAAGTAAACAGAGAAAGTTCTGAAGATGGAATAATGAGCAGAGGGAGGAATTGGGACAGAAGGATTGATTGCTGTCATAGTGGTTGGTGCTGCTACCAAAGAAGGGGAAGGTTGGAAAGTCTAGAACTTTTCTCTGTTGTCATCTCTGGCCCCTGTATTTGAGGCTATAATTTACGTAGGTTGACAGTGACTTCATGGATTAGGTGGCTATCTGTCGTGTTGGGGCCGAATTGCTTTCCCAGACCTCCTGAAAATCAGCCCAGCCCAGTTTGTCAATT